CTGAACCTGGGATTGGCAGGCGCTGGGTAGATGGGTAGGTACTGGAGGGTATTAAGGTATCTGGGTTCAGTGGCTGCTGGCTTTCTGGGGTCAATGATGATACTTCCTGATGAGGATGCTGGGAACAAAGCTAGGGCCAGTACTAGGCCCCTTACTGTTTCTGCTGCTGCCACATGCCCCATTTGTTCTTGCTGAAACTAATGACATTTCCTTTCAGCAGCTTCCTTTCATGCTTGGACCCAGCACAGGGAGCAGTGACACTGCCTGTTCAGTAGGTACCATAGTGGCCCCTGGTCACTGGCATCAAATATCACAGGCTATTTTTGTAGTCCAACTGAATGTGTGTTATTTCAGATGCGCTGCAGGAATGTGCGACAGGCTGTCAAATGTGTGTCACACAGGATGTGTGGCACTTTGCAGCCCTCAGCCCTGTGGATTCTTATGTGACCCTCTGGCCAAGACAGAGAAGGAAGAAGGTCTGAACAGTGTCAGATCCCTATTGCTTGCCCCTTACTGACCCTGTGTGATTCCCCACTTAAGGACCCTGAAAAACTCAGTTTTGTGCAAGGAGTGTACCACCTTTGAGCAGTCCTCCTGGATCCCAAATCTAGCTTCCTCCCCACTTTGTTGAGTGGAACTGGACTCCACCACTGTCTGTTGAGACTCTGCACCTGTAAAGCTAGTGATGTGTTAGAGCTCAGAAACTATGGAACTGGCTTCTGTAGCTATGCCAACAACATTATTAATTTTGTATCAGTGTGTGTGCTTGGATTTACCTTCCAAAGGAGAGTACACCCATGAGAATAACTCTCTCCTTGTGTGAGATCTCTTGGCCAATAAGTCTTAAGTCATCAATTACATGTAAAATCATGTTAAACTTAAAAATAATCATTCCATAAACAAGTAACAAATATATTAATTAATCATTATTGCAGCAGTCATTGACTCAACCTCAAACTGCCCTGTATCCAGATCAGACTAGTGCTGACTATTGAGATATCCTGGAAATGTATTGAACAATAACCTGCACTACATGTGCCTTTCTATGTTATAACTTCTTAAAAAATAAAAAGGGTTACAAAAAGAACTGGATAATTGGGTAGTATTCTTTGCAAGGTGTTCACTAAGTGTATTGGAATCAGATTCAAAAGAAATTAGTGACAAGGTACAAAACAAATGAGAGCCTTTAAGCAGGGGTTGCTGGTCACAAATATAAAAATGGCTAATAAATTTCATTTTGAAGTGAATAGGAAAAAAGTTCTTGAACTTGGAACTCATAATCTGGGATCTCTTGAAGTCTGATCCCACATGAAGCCAGACAGTGAAGAAAGAGGAATAAATTTGCTTTTGAATAGAATAAAAAACATTATCTTAAATGAATCATTGCCATGTCTTTGAATTCTGATTTTCACCTTAATCAGAGGTGAAGAAACACTTATACATGCATAAAAAGTATCAGCAAAAACAATACACATTCCTTCAATGCTTGAAAGGAAAACTTTGCAGCAGACTTAGTGGGTCAAGTAGAAATATGTGCCTGAATACACACACATACTTTAGTCATAGTTTCCTGGCAGTGTGGACATAAAATTTGGAACTTGTAATTTTTATAAATGTCATCAGGGGTTGCCTGGTCTCACAATATGCTTCTGTTGTTAGCCCTTTTTTTTTTTTTTTACATGGCATTTGGAGTCTGAATGTAAACTCAGTAGGCTGCCTGCAGACTTCATTTCCTTCTATGCCAATAAGTAATTCTTAACTTTTTACAATGAAGTAGGTTATACCATACAGGCAGGTCAAACACTTGGTATATGGCAAAAATCCTTGAATCAATCTATTCAGGAATGAGGAAAAATACTCAGATTGGAAAAAGAAATGGAATCTAGTTTCTTATAAAGGAGTCTGATTGGTGTCATTATAGAAATATATTGCAGACAAATGCAGTATATTCCATTTAAAAAAAGACTGAAAGTAAAAAAAATCTAGTTTGCTTTGCAGTATCCCATCCAGTCATATATGTGTACAACAACAAACACAAAGTTATTTGATACATCTGAGGAGGCACCTGATTTTCTATATCACATCAAAGAATCTTATGTGCCTAATATATATATATATATATATATATAAACATTACCCCCCCTCATAATTTCAGCTGAACACATCAAAATGATGCTGTATATTGATCTTTTAACTGGGCTCTAACAAGAAAAATTGTTAATATTCAAGGAAAGAGAGCAAGGAAAAAGACATGAATACTCTCAGAAAAGCTAGCTAAACTACAGCTTGCGGATATTTGGAGAGAAATGCATAAGAGAAATTACTCTGAGATGCATCTCTTACTCTAGAATTGATTTAATTTGCACTGATAGAAGTAATCTTCACACGGTACAACAAAGTGAGATAAATTATATCATTATTTCAGATTATGCCTCTGTGTGGGCTTTAATGAGCAGTTCATTGGGACCAAAACAGACAAAGCACTGGGTTTTTATGATAATTTATTGCAAAATGATAACACAGTTAAATAGCACAGGGCAGACATCAAAGAGTCTATGTGTAACTGCACATCTGTGAGTCCACCTTCACAGAATAATTTCCTGTCTGTGGCAATAAAAATAAGTGGCATGAAGGTAAACTGCAGTATATTTTAAATTACTTAGAAATAAATTTGGGAATTTATGGGGATAAACAGTTTAAACAAGTTTTACTCAGTGGGAATGATCAAGAATTTTTACAACTATAAAAGAAAAAAAAAGAAAAGAAAAAAGGAGCAGCACAGAGTAAGAAATAAAGATCAGAAAATATCCAGATCTTGATGAGTTTTCACTTACATAAATTTTTAGGGGAAAAAATCCTCATTATTAAGAAGGGTTTTGTTGAAACTCTGAAAATTGTCCTGAAATTGAGACAAATTTATACCGGTAGGTTTAAAACATAGAGTAAACCTTTTATCCACTACATACATCCTTTTATCCAATGTCAAATATAGATTTAAAAATCCTTGCAAATAAATTAGTAATGAGAACCATTGGAAAGTTGATTAGTTGGGAACAAACAGGATTCAAAGCTACCAAGCAGTCTCTGCACACAGTCTGACGGGAACATTAGGATCTGATCCTTCAAAAAGATCCTCATGCACAGACCTTTGTGCCGTCATGGATCTCTTTGTAGAAGTAGGTCCTTAAACCGTTGGCCTCTGCCTGGTCATAAGTACCAAAGCCTTTTACTTCTTTCCTTTGATAAAAGGTGTTTGACTGAGGCCTGGTCTACACTACAGCATTAGGTCGACGTAAGGCAGCTTAGAAAGCCAGCTCCCAGAGTCCTGGCTCCCTGCTACCAGTGGGCTGCTGCCCAGGCTCTTGGCTCTCTGCTCTGACCCAGGCTGCTGCCCAGGCTCTCAGCTCCCCGCTGGGAGCCCAGCTGCTGTCCCTGGGCTCTCCAGTTCCCACTGGGAACAGGGCAGCCGCACCACTCTTCTTGGCTCCCTGCTGGGAACAAGGCAGCTGCACTGGGCTTCTTGACTCTCCACTGGGAGCACGGCAGCAGCACAGATTCCAGGTACAGATCTCCCTGCCAGGAGCCTGGCTGCCCTTCCCCCGCAACCCCTGCAAGGGTCTCAGCTCCCTGCTCCACACTGAGAGCACAAGTGTGCCCGGCGGGGAGCTCTACACTTGGAGCCTGGTCAGCTGCCATGCTCCAGGGGGTGGGGGGGAGCTGAGAGCCCGGGGAGTGGTGGGGAGGGGGGAAGGGCAGCCCAGCTCCCAGCAGGGAGCCAAGAAGCCCAGTGTGGCTATCCCATTCCCGGTGGCGAGAGGAGCCGAAGGGAGGATGCAGCCCAGCTCCTGGCAGGCAGCTGTGAGCCCTGGCTCTCGCCCCCCCCCCATGTTACTGGAAGTGCTCCTGGTGAGGATGCGCACCACCGACAGAAGAAGGGCGGTATGGACATGAATGTCTGCACTGGTATTTTTAGCCCTGCAGCCTGAGCCCTGTGCGAGTGAATCAGTTGACCCAGGCTGTGAGATTCGGTGCAGCAGGTTTTTCTTGGCAGTGTGGATGTCTACACTGTACAATTAAAAACTTTTGGCTGGCCTATGCTAGCTGATTTGGGCTCATGGGGCTCAGGTTTAAGGGGCCGTTTATTTGCATTTGGACTTGGTTGGCACATGGCTCTAGGACCCGCTGTGGTGGGAGGGTCCCAGAGTTTGAGTCTGCGCCCAGACATCTACACCTCAATTAAACATCCCCTTAGTCCAAGCCAGTGTAGACATACCCTTAGAGACTAGCACAGATACCAAACATTGGTCCCCATCCAGGTGTCACTGAAGTCAATAAAAGAACTCCCATTGGCTTTGATTGGAACAAGTGCCTCACATTAAACAGATGCTTAGACACAGGGTGTGTAGAGAAGCCTCAAAAGAAAGGATGAAAGTCCCAAGAGGCACAAACATCCTCAGAAGTACATGTAGTAAGGCAATAAGAGTTCTCTTATGAAAATAATCTATATTACAAAAACCTTCAGTTTGAAGGTGATTGTTAAAATGAGGAAATCAAACTGAAGCCTCTTCTCCAGGGCCATGTCTTAAGTGAGGACCTATTAAATGAAGTAAGATTCTCAAAGAATGGGTGCCTCATTAAAATTAACACAGCCTGAGCAAAGTCCTCCCATTTGATGAAAAGAGATTATGCTACACTGCAAAATGTTACCCTTTTCACTGGCGGGCAGGGGGAAGCTACAGGACACACAGTAAAATACCTTTCCCAACTCCAGAGGGGTTAGAGCAAAATCCACCCCAATCCTGTACCACATTAAAGGCAGGGTGGGAACACCTAGAAGAAGCCAGTCTTCGAGCAAAGACGGCCTCCCTCCCTCCCTCTGTCTAGTGACCAGCAGTACCCCGCTGGGTGTGGCCTCTCCCCGCCCCCTTCCCCTCACTGACTATTTAGAGAGGCGGCTGGCCCAGCGGGAGGAGCGGCTGTTTTTAGGGGGGTAGGCGGGAGGGAGGGAGTTGGTGGGGTTAGTGTTTAGCTTCCCCCTCTGTTTTTAGCAGGGAACGGGCACTGTCCCGCGCGTGGGGAACGATGGTGAGTGGGGCTGGCGGCGGGGCACGTGCTCAGGGGGGGTTAGCGATGTGGTTTGGGGGCAGAAAGGCCGTGCTCTAGGTCTCCGGGGGGACGAAGCCGTGGATCGCGGGGGGCGGATGTGGCTGGAGCGGTGAGGCAGGGGTCCAAAGCCGCTGCCCAGTCGTGGGTTAGGGTCGCTGGGAACGGGGTGCAGGGCTGGCTGGCCTGCCTATGGGGAAGGGCTCACCACGGCCTAGGGCTCAATGTGACGGAGGCTGGGGGGGGGGACGGGACTGAGGTCCATGTGGGGTGGAAGAGGCGGGGCTGGAGGGCGAGCGGTCGCCGCGGGGTGCAATGGGCCGGCTCTGCTAAGGGCAGGAGGGAGGAAGCCGCGGCCGCTGAGACTGGTCTTCAGGCGGTCGAGGGCGGCGAGAAGACTGGGCCATGCCCCGCAACCGCCGCCATTTTGTTGCAGCCTGGCTTGCGACGCCTGGCCTGTTCCGCTCGCTCCCCAGGGCGGGCGGAGCTGCTGCTCCCTCCCCGGACCCGCGCCGCGCACGCTTACTGCGCCACATGGCGCCTGCAGCTCGGGGACTCACAAGGGGCGGGTTCTGCCCCGGTCGGTCTCCTGCTGGGGTGGGGCCGGTCCCGGGCATTTCCACCCTCAGGGCAGACTAGAGTGTGACTCCAGTGGAGCCCCGGCCCGTTCCCTCGGGGTACTGCCGGACGGAGCAGCAGCCCCCAAGCTTGGGGGAGTTGGGCTTCTTCCCCTTGTGCCTCGCCTCGCCTTGTGGGGCTGGGTTTAGCCGGTCTGTGGCGACGTTTCCCTGCTCTGATGCCCCTTGGGGTGGAGGCTTCAGCGCGAGGTTACTGATTGCTCAGATCAGCCTGTCTGTAGGAAGCCTTTTCAGGAGAGGCGTCAAATCTCCTCTTCCCTCCTGCCTCTCTCGTGGGCTGTACGGTGTAGTGCCCCATATGAGGTCAGATCTTGCAGACTGTTTGAAACCCATGCTTTCTTTGGCCTCATGGCAGGTTCTCCACTGGCAGTAGTAGATGCAGGCACTGCCTGGAAATGTTAACTTCCACTGGCTTCTATGGAGACTTGCCCAAGTTATACATAACAAAGCAATTCTAATTTATGTACATTAGACGGTTACATATTTCAGCTGAACTAAAGTTGGTTTGAATTTTTTCAAAAGCAATTTCATATCATGAGCTTGCTACTAATTGCTCTTAAAAAAAGAAAAAAACCAACAACACCCAACAACTGCAGTTCTCAGATGTGCATGTTGAAAGTACACCTCTACCCCAACATAACGTGACCCGATATAACACAAATTCAGATATAATGTGGTAAAGCAGCACTCTGGGGGGGTGGGACTGCGCGTTCCGGTGGATCAAAGCAAGTTTGATATAACGCGGTTTCACCTATAACGCAGTAAGATTTTTTTTTTTTTTTGGCTCCTGAGGACAGCGTTATATCGGGGTAGAGGTGTACTAGTAACTAAAGCATGCATTTTTTTATCTGTCAAACTTTTAAAAGTCAAAGTGTACCTTCTTCCTTTTGAGAGTAATTAGTTCACTTCATGTGAGTTCTCTTACTTTCAGGGTGTACTCAACATATTTGGCTCCCACATATAGTTAACTATTTACTAGATAAGAATATGGAGAATTTTTTTCAAGAAAATACTTGATGCTCTTTGCACATCTTTCAGTAAATTATACTATTGTCTGTTTGGGGGTGGGTGTGGGCGTGTTCTGCATTAAGCTTGATGTGATGCAAACAATAAGACTAAACAGGTAAAACAATTTGAAGATACTAGAAATCAAGAATGTCAGTTGAAAGGTAGCAGTTGTATTGTAACTCTCGGCATGTGCTATGCTCTGTACAAATATATAAAAACTGCCTTTCCTGCAGGTGTGCATGGATAGATCTTATAAATTGGCTTTAAAATATTTCAAATGGTGACACTAATTCAGTTGACCTTTTGTATTCTCAAAGCTGGTTGTTTATTAATATTTAAATTTTTTGTGAAATAGCAAATTTTTTTTTAGTGACTTGCTTTTCATATTCACATTCTTCCATTTATAGCAGCGCATGACACTGCTATATTTCATAGCTATTGTAATGAGGTCCTAAACACACACAATCCAAAAGCCACTTCCTGTCATATTAGCGACTTGATTGTATAACAACTTTCAGTCTGTACATGTTCTGTTAAGTATTAGTTTTATAAATCTAAGCCAGTGGTTCCCAAGGGGTGAGGGTGTGTGTGTGGTGGAGCAAGGGCCAGCCTCCAGTGGAGGATGGAGAGGGAGCACCCCCCACTATGCTCCCTGCAGCTCTGGCCCCAGCCATAGCTCAGCTGTAGCCCCAGCTGCAGTTCTGCTCCACTCACAGGCCAGCTTTGTCTTCAGCCCAAGCTCCTGTGCTGAGCCAACTGCAATAATGGAGCGGGGCCATGGGCAGATTCCATTACTGGTAAGGGGTGTGTGTGGTGTGACAGGAAATGTTTGGGCACCACTGATCTAAGGTACACTTTCTCCCCATTCCCCTCATGTAAGATATCTTGTGTTACCAGACTCAGTTTATCAGTTAAATTAAATTGAAAAGCAAAGCAGTTAACACTGGAACAGCGGCCTTTCACCTTGGGTGTTTGTTCCAAAACTATTTGCTAGAGAATGTTTGCATGCTTCCAGCCTCTTTATAAGAATAGGTAAAAATAGAGGTTGAATTAATTATAAATAATTGTATTGGTCTGCATCAGTGGTGCTCAAACTTTTCCAGTCGTGCTCCACTCCCTTTATCAATGATGGAATCTGTCTGTGCCCTCCCTTCAATTACTGCACAGCCAAGTTTCAGAGTAACAGCTGTGTTAGTCTGTGTTCGCAAAAAGAAAAGGAGTACTTGTGGCACCTTAGAGACTAACCAATTTATTTGAGCATAAGCTTTCGTGAGCTACAGCTCACTTCATCAGATGCATACTGTGGCAAGTTTAGTAGCTCACGAAAGCTTGTGCTCAAATAAATTGGTTAGTCTCTAAGGTGCCACAAGTACTCCTTTTTTGCATAGCCAAGGCTTCCTCAGCAGCAGAGCTTGGGTTGAAGGCAGAGGTGGGAGTGGAACTGGGGATGAGGGGAAGAGCTGAGCCTACAGGCAGAGGAGGAGTTAGGGTGGAACTGCTCTGGGGGCAGAGGAGGAGTGAGGGTGGAGCTGGGTCTGGAGGTGGAGCAGGACTGGGGGATGACAGGGTTGGAGGTGCAGCTGGTCTGGGAGCAGTGTGGGGCTGGAAACATGGTGATCCCTCTGTGCTGTGCCCTATCAGAATGTTCCTCCATTCCCCCTAGGGGACATGCCCCCACATTTTGAGAACAACTGACGTACATAAAACAGAGATACAGCTAGGAGTAAGACCCAAGTCCTGAAAAAGTTGACTAGGATATCTACTAGTTTGCAAAAAGCATGTACAGTACGTGGCTAATAGCTCCACCTGCTGCTTGATGTGTAAACTATACTATCACTGTTATAGGGAGCCACGTTCCTTTTCCCTTTCAGGTAATATGCTGTCATGATAACTTCAACTCCTGTATGTAGAAGTGCTGCACATGTGGGTGCAATACCAGGAGTGTGAGTAGACATTACATCTCTTTATATTCTGAGCAGGGTGTGGAAGGGGTGGAGAAAGGTAGGACAAACTTCGTGTGTAGGAGAGAAAAAAGGCCCAGGCATATTGCTCTGGGGTGGGCTAATTGAAGCTCTAGTGAGGATCCAACAGAACTGTTGGTCAAGTTTGTTGAGGTTTGTTCTTTCTTCTGCATTGCTTTTCATAAATATCAACTCTGCTTTATTATAAATATTGTAGGGTATAACAGAGGCCCTGCCTATGCAGAGGCAGAATAGGACCTAGTGCTGCAGCAACAATACCTAAATTCTTTGGCAACTCTAATTTATGATTGTCATGAAATGTCCTACATTCCCATCTGCCATCTTTCTGTATACACATCTGAGGCTCATCGATTTTATGTCAGTTAGTACTTTCAACTATTGCTCTTTTTTTGTTTTGAAGATTTCCCCTGCCCCCCCCCCCCCAAACTTTTCTAGGCAACCTAGCTGCACTCCCTAACTTTTGGTCCCTGTGATGTTGGCCAGCCAGCCTGGATCAAAACCTCTTCCTATTCCCCTGTATAATAGAGAAGGGTGGAGCTTGCAGTCATCTGCTGAAGCTGGCTACTCCTAACTGTGATCATGCTCTGTAGGAAGCTCAGCTTGACATCTTACACTCTTGGTTTGCTTGGCTTCCTGGCTGCAAGTTAGATTCCTGTTCTAGTTCCCCAACTTCCTGCTACCTGACTCTTGACAGTACAGAGAGAGCATACACTGTAATCTGTTTAACTTCCCATTGTCATGAAATCTGGAGAATAAGAGACAGTTGCAAGAAGAAAACTTACTGTAGCCATGCATCTGACATAATAGCAAATGGTGTGACATAAATGTTGAATTCCTTGGCATTTTGGAATCTGATTTCAGAGGCCCCAGGTTGAGATGAATGAGGCAGGTTACCCCACTACACTTAGACAGCCTGCAACAATAGCTCTGTTAACTAAAGCAGTAATATGAGTATAGTCAGTTAACTGTCTTGAGGTTTTATTTCTAACTACAAGAGTAAGAAAGACTTGAACTTCAGCTCTCATTTTAGAGTGTAATTCTCCAGCAAGATGTAAATTCAGTGGCTATGGAATACACAGGACTCTTGAGGATCAGCCAGCATATATGGTAAAAGACTGTAGAATCTTTGCCTTGTGGGAGCTTAAAATGGTAACTTCTTGCTTTTTCCTTATCTAGCACTTAAGGCAAAACCCTTTTGCTAATGCCTTGTTATCTAAATCATAGTGGCTGGAATAAGGGCCAACAGTTTACATGCTTGCATTTAAATAGATTCCCGTTTGGGATGGGGACAGCGAACAGTTTAGGCCAATTGTCAGGAGGAAAGATTGCCCATCTTGGACAATTTGAACTGGAA